CGCATATCAGAGAGGGAAAGTTCCTCAATGACAGGGCGAACTCTTAAAGGAAAGGTAGGAACACAGGATGGACGTGTTTCAAATAAAGTGTTACACACATCATCAAGTAAGCACAGCTTATTGGGATGTTCAGGTTGGGATAGAATATTAAAATATTGCAAAAGGGACATTTGCTCACGCCTCAGATAAAGTGATGGTTCGTTAGAGTCAACATACAGGCTCTGGACAGGAGAAGTCCTGAAAGCTCCTGAACAAATCCGCAGAGCCTTGATGGTGAACAGGATCCAGTTTTAACAAAACTGATGACCGAGCGGATCCGTAAACAACTGAGCCATAGTCCAGTCTAGAGCGAAACAGGGCTCTGTAAATGCGAAGCATGGAGCAACGCTCTGCACCCCAGGAGGTGTTCGCCAACACTTTTAAAATATTTAGTGTTTTTAAACACTTCTTTCTCAGGTTTAAAACATGAGGAAGGAAAGTCAATTTCTGGTCGAACGTCACTCCTAAAAATTTTACTTCGGGCGCAACTGGAATAATTGTACCATTTAGATATAACTCAGGTTCAGGATGGAGACCTCGCTTCCTACAAAAGTGCACGCACACAGTTTTCTGTTTCGAAAAAAAGTAAATCCCTGTTTGTTTGACCATTCTTGGATCTTATTCAGAGCCATCTGCAACTTGCCTCTCTACAGTATCTCATGTCTGCCCTCGACAGCTAATCTGCAGATCATCAACATATAGAGATCCCAAGATGGTGGGAGGAAGTTCTTTTAGTACAGAATTTATTTTTAAACTAAACAGGGTTACACTAAGCACACAGCCTTGAGGCACACCCTCTTCCTGTTCAAAAACATCCGAAAAAACAGAGCCAATTCTTACTTGAAAAGTTCTAGTGTTCAAGAAATTTTGAATGAAAATTGGTAGGTTGCCGCGCAAGCCACTCTCGTGAAGATCCCGAAGTATACCGTATCTCCATGCCTTATCATAAGCTTTCTCAATGTCGAAGAATATTGAGACAAGGTGGCTTCTTCTTACAAAAGCTTTTCGAATAGGATGTCTCTAAGAGGAGCATGTTATCTACAGTTGTTCTCCCCTTTCGAAAACCACTTTGATAAGGCGATATAATATTATTCTTTTCCAAGAAGTAGACTAGGCGGCTGTTTACCATCTTTTCAAACAGTTTGCAAACACAACTGGTAAGGGCAATTGGCCGATAGTTCGGAGGGATTCCTTGGATCTTTCCCTGGCTTCGCAATAGGAATGACAACAGCTCTCCTCCATGCACTGGGAAAAGTACGCTCCTTCCACACTCTATTGTAAAGTGTGAGAAGGGCACTTCAGTGACTTATAGGACAGATGCTTTAGCATTTCATAATTCACGCCATCAAGACCCGGACAAGACCTATGTGTCTGCAACAAAAGCTCTCCTTAATTCAAGCATAGTAAAGTCTCTATTGTAAGGCTCAGATTTGGAAGAGTTGAATGCGATGGGATTTATTTCAGAGTGTTGCTTGATAGAAAGAAATGCAGGTGAATAGTTTCTGCTGGAAGAAACGGCAGCAAATGTCTCACCAATAGTATTTGCAATTTCTTCTATGGAGCTAATCACTCGGCCATCTTTTTCCAAAAAGGAAAGTGAGTGGTCTTTATATATTCCGCATGCTTTTCGAACTCTTTCCCAAACCCGCTTACTAGGCGTAGGAGGATGTTATTGACGACACATATGAAATCCAGGAATCCCTCTGGCTCTGCCTTCTTACTTTTCGTGCATTTGCTTTGGCTCTTTTAAAGGCTATGAGGTTTCGCAGAGTAGGATATCTACGAAAAATACCCCATGCTTTTTTCTGTTTTTTCAGTGCTTCATGACAGTCGCGATTCCACCATGGTTTCGAATATTTTAGTATTTTTCCTGATGTTCTAGGAATCGGAAAGCATAGCTGCCTGAATAATAGTATTAGTAACAGCTTCAACAGCGTCATCGATATGCACATCTTCTACCATTTCATCTGTGAGCTCTGCAATGGAAGAGAAGAGTTCCCAGTCTGCCCTGTCCAGTATGAATCGAGGGAGTCTCGACATGGGGTTTGCTCCTCTTCGTGCAAGAGATACAAAAATGGGATAATGATCGCTGTTGTAAAGATCATTTCCCACACTAAAAGTGCAAAATGGCAACAGAGATGGTGAACAGATGGCAAGGTCGAGAGCGTGGAATGTCCTTGAAGGCTCATGGAAGTAAGTATCTGCCCATTATTCAGGAGACAAAGGCTATGATCTTCGATCATCTGCTCAATTTGTCTTCCTCGGCAATTTGTATCTTTACTACCCCAGAGCGGACTATGGCCGTTAAAATCTCCTATTATGATGAAAGGCTCAGGCAGCTGCTCTAAAAGACCATTTAAATCTTGCTGATCAATATGCTCATTTGGAGGCAAATACAGAGAAACGACTGTAACAACAATATCAAAATTTGTTTGAGTAGCGACAACTTGGAGGGATGTCGTCAAAGAAAGCACATTTGAGGGATAATCCAGTGAGGTGAGGAGACCTACACCTCCACTGGCACGCTCACCTGCAAGGTTATCTTTTCCTGACGAAAGAAAACCTCCGAAGTTTTGCCTGTTGTTCCGGTTTTAGATTTGTTTCCTGTATTGCGAAGCATACAGGATGATAACATTAATTATAGCTTTGATGTCGAGCAAATTTCGGTGGAAACCGCGACAGTTCCATGATACGAGGGTGGCCATTATGAATGGTTTTTGTTCTTTCTGTGCTGTTCTTTTGGTTTTTCGTGGAAGTAGATGCCTGGGAACTTCCAGACCCTCTTCTACTTCCATAAAGTCTGAATCCGCAGATTCAGAAATCATCTCATCAAGAGAGCTATTGCTGGACTTCTATTTTTATTTGATTATTTTTGGTGTGGCATTTTTGGGTTTACTTTGAATAACTGTTTCTTTTTTTGTACTATATGGGTTGCATTTTCTTTTTTCTTGTTGGATGTAGTCGGTTGGGTTTTATTTGGTAGGGTCTGTGTGCCTATTGATGTTTGGGTGGCAACTGTACGAGATGATTTTAAGAGCACTTGGCGTAAGATGTATTTGGTCGAAGCTGTGTGCTTTGGACTAATCTTCTGGCTTCGGCATATGAGATGTTCCTCGTAACCTTTGCAGTCTGCACTTCTTTTTCCAATTTCCATTTTGGGCAGAGGCGTGAAAATGCTGGGTGCTCACCCTTGCAATTTATACAAAGAGGCGCAGCGGTACAATTTTCAGAATCGTGGCCAATCTGTGAGCATCGGGCGCATGTGAGGCTGCCACGACAAGACGTCTTAGAATGGCCGAAACGCTGGCATTGGAAACATCGCATAGGGTTTGGAATATAAGGTCTTACAGGACATATTTAGAATATCCGGCCTTAATATTCTTAGGCAGATCAGGCGTGTTGAAGGTAAGGATCACGTGTTTCGTGTCGATCAACTTACCTTCTTTACGCATCTTGATCCGCCTTAGCACCGCAGACATTTTGGTTCGGATAGCTCAGGAAGCGATCTCTTCTTCAGAAACATACAGAAGGTCGAATTCCGAGATTACACCACGACAATAGTTCAGTGACTTATGTGGTGTTACATTGACATTCGCTTGCCCAAGTTTAGTTATCTGAAGTAAAGAAGCAGACTGGGTGGCTGAGGTTGTATCAATAAGCAAGTCTCCGGAGCGGAGACGCTTTATATTTCTCGGCTCACCAATACAAGACTGGATGTATTTATTACGAAAGGAGACATCTTATGCATTTCGCCAGAAGGACTAGAGATGACTAGGAAACGGGGACTATTGTTATGATTTTTTTTTTTATTTGCATCTGTCCGTAATTTTTTTGCAGAATTTTCAGAACTAGGTTGAGTGATGGTTGAGTGACTGGTTTAGTAGTAGACGTTTTCAGAACTAGGTTGGACGATTGGTTTATTAGTAGATGTTTCAGAGCTAGGTTGAGTGACTGGTTTAGTAGTAGACGTTTCAGAATTAGGTTGAGAGACTGGAGTGACTTCAAAATCTTTTAATAAAAATATATGTGAATTTGCCATATTGAAAATAGAAAAGATTCGGGTCCGACGGCCCCGCCCACCACGGAGCCCAACAAGGGAACACAGATTCCTGTGTTAGGGCTAGCCGGACCTATACGCAAACTGAAGCCCCACAGTCGGCTTTCCCGAAAGCAGGTACTCCCGAGAGCTTGACCCCAAGCCACTGACACAAGGACTAGTGACCAGCCGATTGACACCCGTGAGGACGACTAAGGTGCCTCCCGTTTAGCTGAAGCAGAGGCCAAAGCAGTGTGTTGGGGACAGTACCTCGCCCCTCAACTACCAGGACCCTCCTTTCCAGCGACACGGGTCTCACGCACGGCAAACACGTGGGCAGTTTTCTCGCCACTCGAGAACTAGAGACAAAGGCTGTTCCAGTTTCTTGTGACGAGCCCCAAACTCTGTAGAGAGAAACCACAAGGGAAAAGGGAAGGGGAAAAGTACCAGCCAAGAGGAGAGGAGACGGAAAAGAGGAAAGATCACTGGGGCTCCAGGGTCGTGACACCCGTCTCACCAAGAAGATGATCCCCTGAAGGGGTAGGGTACCTCGGGATTGCCATACCCGTACTCACAAAAGTGAGCCCCTGAGGTCCCGAACTCGGTTCGACTCAGTGCCCAGCGGGATTACAGCCGTTGCTGCCAGCTGGTAGCTCTGTGCCCTGAATTCCGCACACTATGTTACCCCAAACCACCTGCAAATTTAATCATGTATTCCTCGCGTTATACGATATATGAGTAACAAATAGGATTATGTTATTTGCTTTCCTTTCTGGTGTAGCAATTTTTAATGCTGTAATAGTGTACTTTGTTCATATATTCATATTTTAATAAATAACTTTCATAATATTTGGAATAATTATAATGTATTTTAATTTCATTAAATTTTAATTTGTATCTTAAATTTTTCAAAATTTTTTAAAAGCTATCGCTGTTCCAAGAATGATAAGAAAACCATCAAAAACAAACGAGAAAACTATTACTGGTAAGAAATTATTTTAGTTTCCAGCTATTCTGTTTTATATTTCTAACTTCATCTTATGTATTCTTCATCAAACCTTTCGATTTTTATCCTTAAATTTTAGTTACATACCAATATGGTATAATCCACAATTGTATACATATATTACATTGCTTCATCTTTTGAAATTTTATTCTGATAAGTTACAATTGTTTCTGTTTCTCTCATAGAACAAACTGCCATCGATACTTTGCGGAGTTCTTTTGATCCATGCTCGTCAACTTCGTCGACTACTCTTTACACAAGCGCAGCTACAGAAAACAATGGTATGGCTTTAAAAGAAGTCTGAACGTATTCAGCATACACAGCACCTCGATGATATGATACCTGTACATTTAATATTCAGAATGGGTCAAGAGAGTGGAAGTATTTCGGCAATTTTGGTGAAATTTATTTACACTACAGTCATAATTTACAAGTCATCAATTCATACGAAATATATAACCTTGAAAACGACAATCACTCTTCAACTGCTCAATATAATCCGATAAAATTCAATAAACAAAAATTAAAATTACTGTTAACCACCTCTATATACAAGAAATGGCAACTTTTGTCCAAATTTGCCATGCTTAATGTTAATGAAAACCAAAATTTGGAACAGTCATTGGCGTTATTTCACATCACTTGCCGCTACAATTTTTTTCCATCTCCAGAGCACATTTCTAACATTCTTTACAAATTTAGCAGCTTGACACTAGCTACACCTAACACGTACACAAAAAGAGCGCGTTCTTAGAGACTATAAACATTTTTTTCTTTTCTATTCTTTGTTCTCGTCTTTTTAAATCCCTGCCATAAGCGAGTGCTGTCAAAATCAAATTGCATCTGGGCGACATGCACAACCTAAACGCAGCTGGCAAGCAGCATGCACGACCAGCAGCTGGATATCAAAGCAGCTGTCAGGTCAGAACTTTTTTTTTTTTAAATTCAAACTTAATTTCAAATAACTAACTAAATTTTAACTTGATTAAAAATTTCACTTAATAAATATTTATTAAAACATACATTTCTAACGCGAAGGAGAAAAATTTTAATTTATCGTTCTTATTTTCGGTCCGTAACAAATTTCTGTTGGTTACATTTTGTAATTTGAGTATACTAGCAGTTGACTATTGAATTTTTGGACTGACGTTTGTTTCTAACATATTGAATTAACCCATTAATAACATATTTTAACATAAACGTAAAATAAAAAAATTAGGAAAACTTACCAAATTTTCAGAGAAATCTTCGCCAGTGAAACAAAACATCATAATAAAATAGCGACAACTTATCCTCTTTTTCTTTTATGTATTAAATTTTTTATCGGCACATGCAGAAAACATATATATGATTGTATGTAAATTGTTACGCATTTCTCTATTTTCTACTACAGCTTGACAGTTAATGGCGTTTGGAGTTTGATAACATCTGTAGCCTTGTAGAAAAATTACTGGAAACTATCTTCGTCACTGATTGTAGATGCTCCTAGGTCAATCCTGTCCTTTTTTTAAACTTGTTTTTCAATTGCGAAAAAACTTTTTATATGTAAATGTACTCCTGAACAAAGCAATTATCTTTGTTGTAAAAACTCGTAGCTGAAGATATTTATCTTTTGACAAGTATGAATAAGTTATCATAGCCGTATCTTCAAATATTAGAAAAAAATTTATATCACATTGCAAATTAATTAGTTCAGTTTGTAAATCTTCTGTTCGTTATTCACGCTCGGTTTTAATGGTAATGAAGACAATTTAAAATCGAACTTCATATCGTTACATTTCTTAAATCTATCTTTAAATTCTTGCTGTAACAATGCTACTTTTCGTGCGTATTTTTGAGGTTTTCCATTTGAAATAATAGAACAATAAAGACATAGAAAATGTATGAACGTTTTTTTTTATTTATTTATTTTTTTTATTTCAGTTGTATTTCCCATCTTTACAGTTTAACTTTAAAAGCTTTAACAGAAGCAAACATGTTTTATCAAGCAAATTAAGCAAACATGATAAATTTATTCTTTCCTGGCAGCTTTTGATTAAGAATATTTTAATAGCCAGCTAAATCAGCAAGAAATATTAAATTTTCTATTCTTGTATCATTATGTAGTCATCGATTTTATTTTTCGAAAGAATAAATTTATCATGTTTGCTTTGTTATCATATCTGCTCGGCGTAGCTACGTCACCTCGTTGTAATAAATAATTTCTTCGTACTCACTTTAAATTTATTGAGTACAACAAATTCTCGATGAATCAGAGTTCGTCCACGGGATAAAGTTTAGAGTTTCATTTATCGTTTTTATAATATCATCCATTTGCAAACTTTTGGTACAGAATGCTTCTTGATGAATAATGCAATGCATAGCTCAAAACATATTTTGTAAATTTTCTTCTTTCATTATATTTCTTAATTTTACTGCTACTCCATTTTTTCACTATAGCAGTTGCACAATCACTTTTAAATCCAACCATTTTATCCCAAATTAATTTATATTCATTTATTGCAGTTTTTATTTCAGAAAAAATACTCTGAGCAAGTTTTTCATTCCATGGAAATTATTTTCAGTAATTCCTCAACTACTTCACATTCATGAGGAACACTTGCCATTGAGAATGCTGCAAAATCTGCAAATTTTTCCATTTAACTGATATCTTAAATCACTAGCGATTTGTTAATACGTCCCGCTACTGCGCTGGCTGACAAACTAATATTTTTAAATAATTGTTGTTCGCCGGGACTAAGAAGTTAAGATGAAGTTCACAAGTGCAGATTTAATCTAACCATCTTTAACAAATTCACGATCACTAAATGGGTTTGATCTTTTTGGGATGATGTGCGGTACTTTTACCCTTTGTCATTGAAGTTTAATATCCTAATTAAAAGCATAATTATAACTTTATTTACAATTTTAATTCAACAAGCTGAATTTACATACAAAAGCAGCCCTCAAATACTTTGCATAATTTCAAATGACTGGAATTTATGTAACTTAGATCTAACGACAAGCACAAGCCGTCTGTTAGTTCGTCTCCAAGGACATAAATTGCGTTACATCCAGCTTACCAACTGGTCAAAGTACCAACTCATTAGAAGGGAAAAAAAAACACGAACATACCAGAATTGAAAAGTTTGCGAACTCTCGAACGCTCAGTCATGCAGCTTGGCATGCAAGCGTGATCTTTTTCCCCTAAGTTCCATAGCAATCGCGCATATACGTGTAAATACAATCCATGTGTTTGTTATGTTTAACTTTTAAATTATCGTTTCCTCAGATGAGAATCAAAGGCCTTTTTTAAATTAGCTTCTCACGTGGGTCTATCAGAGGGCTGTTTTATGCGTTACATGTGTATTATTGACTGTGTGCCAGCACTGGGCTCGAACTTGGAATGTAACGAAGCCTAAATATTTGCTACCGCTTTTCCATTTTCTTAATAAACACCATATTGCAAAACACTGCGCAATTAGTTTATGCTATACAGAAATCTACAGCTGGAAGACAAAATAATACGAACACCTGTGAAATAATGGAAAAATCTTTATTACTAGGGGGTTGGACCACCCTTTGACTGAAGTACAGCTTGAATGCGACGTGGGATAGATGCATAAAGGTCATGGACAATATTTAAAGGAATATTAAGCCATCCCTCCTGCAGAGCGTTCTGTAATTCCAAAAGTCAGGATGGAGGTGGAAATCGGAAATGAAGTTTGGATTCCAAATATGCCCATAAATGTTCAATAATATTCAAGTCCGGAAAATGAGAGGACCAAGCGAAATGTTCAATTGCATCGTCATGCTCTTTGAACCATGCTTGAATACACCCAGGGATAAATAGAAGGGCTAGATCTATCCTTTGTTGGACTCCTCGCCGAAGCGAGCCTCCTGAAGGGGGTGCACTGGAAGTAATCTGACGTGTCTGTGTTGCACCTGCTCTGATTTCGCGCTTTTAAAAATGTAGTTTTACTCAGTTGCGAGACGATTTTCTGGAGGTCGCATATCCCAAATTAATTGTAATCATACATATTTGTTTTCTAATAATGCAAATATTTAATAATTTGTGTATATATATATATAGTTTTAGTCAGTTTTCCTTTTAAATTCTATATTTAAAGTATCCTTTATGTAATATGGGTTCTTGTACTCTAACAATGCGCCGTAACACTTAATACGAAAGGAAGAGATATTGTATTTCATGCTTTCCCAAAGGACAGTTTGCTTTTGTCGAAAGAATGGATACATAAATGTCGAAGGCAGGATTCTCTTAATGTGAAAAACGCAAGAATTTGCGGCGAACATTTTCTGTGCTGTGAATATGAACGTGACATGAGAAATTGCTTGCTTGGATTGCCGCAAAAGAAACTGTTGAAATGGAATACTGTGCCGAAAGTAAATTTATCGTGTGCAGTAAACGAAATTGCCGCAAAAGAAACTGTTGAAATGGAATACTGTGCCGAAAGTAAATTTATCGTGTGCAGTAAACGAAATAACACCAAGAAATCGGAGAGACATTTGAAAAGAAAACTAATGCAGAGTGCTTTTGAAAGACTACACGAATTAAGCCCAAAGAAAATTTATTTTGAGGTCGAGAACGAAATTGAAGCTGACAATAATAAATCAAATGTGAATGATTTTGAAATAAAATTCACAAGTGATAATGCCCTAAGTGACAATAACCCTGAATGTCCTAAGTGTAAAGATAAACAAGAATGTATTGATAATTTGAAGAACAAAATAATATCCTTAGAAAATTGTAATAAAATATTGAAAAATAGCGAAAAGAAAAATTTTATAGAATGTTTGCTCAGCGACAAAGAAGGTGGACGACATCTAGAAACAAATTTGTAACGGAAATTCAGAAATTAAAATCCCAAACAGTGAAATTTAGGAAAAAACAACACAGATCGGAGAATTTGGAAAAAACGTCTAGAGCATATTTTTACAAAGACGCAGAATGACGCATTGCTAGAAAAGAAGGAAAAAATCAGGTGGACTAGTGAAGATATTTCACGTTGCATTGTCGTAAGAGCACTGTAGAATACGTTTCTTAAATAGAAATGCATATGTTTTCTCCCAAAGAAAAGCAACCCAAAAGGCAAAAAAGTGGATTGTTTCGAATGTGGTAGCCAATAAATAATATTTCAACAACTTGTAGTTGCATTGTGACTGTACAAGTAAGCATATGTAATATGTTTTGATTTGAAATATTTCTAGATGACATTTTAGAAGTTAATAGCGTAAAGCATATTTCAAATGAGAACTAATTTTGTTAAGTTATTTTTATTGTATCCTGTGCTATTATTGATTCGATTTTGTGCTAGCTTAGCAATCTAGATAAAATATAATAATATAACATTAAAGTAATTGGCATAAGAAAACCTGCCTAATCAACCCCCACTTTTGAAAAATTAAATAATTTTTTTAGGTACTGTGAGTAAAGTTGTTTTGTCTAAATTAGGATAACAATCTTTCATGCATTTATTTAAATGTAATATTGATGTTAAGTTACAAAATTATTTTTAAAAATATATGTTATTATATTGAATCGAGAGAAAAATATGCCAATGTAAAATTTACAACTAGGCTGAAACTTAAACTTAGATTAGCAGAAATTTTGAAAACTATGCCAATTTAAGGTTGTTTCTTGATTAATTTTAAATAGCTGTTATTATAGTTATCTTAGAAGCAGTAGTACAGTTCTCTTAGTTAACATGCAGATAAAGAAATGATTAGAAATAAACAGGCATTTAAAGAAAAAAAATCCCTGTAAATTAAAAAAAAGGAACTTTATTCTAAGAGTAGCGCATTTTATCTGTTATTTTAAAACTGAGTAAGTACTATTAAATTTTTTAATCTTCAGTGTACAATGCATACTGCAGTAACATTGTCTCTTCTAAATTATAGCTATCTTTCACACATAGCTCATTTTAAACGCTGGTTCTTCAGATTTAAAACGCTAATTTCTATGTTGTCAATTGCATCTCCGCGCTCAGTGTCATCATGGCTACGTCATCACTCCCCACTGCCTGTTTCAGGTGGAAAAGCTCTATGAGCTACCCCTTCTATTTAAATCCTGGAATACACCTAGCAGTGTAGATAGGGGCGTTGTCGTCTTGAAAAAGCGGTTGCTTCCCAGGGAATACAGTATTGACAAAAGGATGGACATGATGCCCTAGAATACTTAGATAGTGATTGGATGTGATCCTCCTATGCAGAATAACAAGTGGCCCAAGACCGCGCCAAGATATCGCACCCCATACCATAATGGCGCCACATCCATACTTCGCAGTCGGCAAGAGGCAGTTAGGATGAAACGCTTCTTTGGGCGTTCTCCAGACATAAACGCGTCCGGTCGTCTGAAATAGGGTGAATGACGATTCATCTGACCATATTACCTGTTGCCACTGCTGTGGGGACCAGCCTTTGTGATCTCTGAACGATTGGCGTCGCTTGAAAGCATGAGTTGCTGTCACCAAGGGTTAACAAATTGCCACTCTGCCATAAATGTTCGCAGCATGAAGTTCCCTTTTGGCAGTTTTTGTTGAAACGGGGTCCTGGAGATGACTATTCATTTCGGATGTTATCTCGGATAATGATTATTGCTTGTGCTTTTGGCCTACTATGCGCTATAAGACCCGTCTATTCCTATCAGCGAGCTTTGACTTTCGGCCAATGTTGTGCTTTGAAGACTTCGTCTTACCCTCTTTCGTATACGCTGCCATGACGGCTGATACCGTACTCCTTGTACATCCCACAAGGTTTGCTGTTTCTGTAACCGATGCTCCACTTAAACGCGCCCCAACTATCATTCCTCTTTGGACCTCTGACAGGTCTGACATTTTAACTTCTCACAGACAGTTCGATCGAAGCATGCAACGCAGGTGACTGCTGTTGATAGACTGATACCTTCCTCTTCACGCTCACTAAATGGCAGATTTCTGTTGCAGGTGGCGCACCTGTACTGTAGGTGTGAAATACGTCATACTTTTTCATAGATGTTTGCATTATTTTGTCCTCCATCTGTATAAGCACTCTATTGAAACAAATGCATAACTGAAATGCAATTGCCAGCCAATTAAAAATTGCTTCGGAGACCATCAGTCTGAGTCCTCTTTCATAAGCTATATGGCTGTTTATCTCTGCTTTTGAGATCGACAAATCCTACAAGATAATTCTTTAATTTTTTTCTAACGTTTCATTTGTTAACCATTAACTTTTAAAACAAGGCTTAATGTTTTCATCATGCATTCATTCAATTTGTTTTTATTTCTTTGAAGTCAGGTTTCCGCCGTTTAATCTCGTATTATTAATTTCGATTTTTTAAAAATTATGTTTTGTTTTTGGATCTTATAATTTTACTTCGATCCAAATATGTTCGATGGAGATTGAATTTGATTGTTGTGATTAATTTATGAGATATTTTGATAGTTTTAGATTAATTATACACTAGTATATTTCACATTCATAGCAGTATGTTAGGATCTTGATAGAATTCGGAATTATTTTGCATGCTAAGTAATGCGTGTATAAATTGATTTTATTATTTTATATTTTGTTCAATATTTTAAAATGATTTTTTTTTCAAAATTTTTAACAGCAATTTTTTTTAGGAACAATATCGCAACCATTGCGGCCAAATGAAACTATAATCACCGGTAAGCTTAGTTAAATTCCTTAATAGAGTTCGGAATTATTTTGCATGCTAAATAATGCATGTATAAATTAATTGTATTAGATTATATTTTGTTCAAAAATTTAAAATGTTAATTTTTTTTTTTTTTTTTTTTTTTTTTTTTTTCAAAATTTTTAAAATCAATTCTTTGCTTTAGGAAAAATATCGCATCCAATTCGGTCAAACGAAACTAGAATCACTGGTAAGTTTAAATTCCTTTCACCCATTTTTATATTTTTGTTCTATCGTTTCTTCTTCTTCAAGGTATCTGATTACTTTATCTAGAATTTATTTGCACATATATGCACATGAGTTATACTCCTTTGTTTAATTACATGCAAAATAGACATTTTCGTCACTGAAACTTTATTTTAATAAATTACATTTTCTACCTTTGAATCTTTGTTTCTGTCTTTACATAGAACAGAATTTCGTCGAAGCTTTGCGGAGAGCTTTCGGCTCATGCTCAGCAGTTTCATTTACTACAGCAGCTATAGGAAATAATGGTATGAATTTTTAAAGAAATTCCTAAATATATTCACCGTATCCAGAATTAGAAAGTTTCTCTTGAGAAGGATTATTAATTGTGCTGTAATTTAAATATCTGATATATTTTTGTTTACATTTTCATATAATGTTTCCAAATAACTTTCCTAATTCATGATTTAATTATGCTGTATCTTCTTATATTTTACTTAAATTTTTAATTTACTTTTTAAACTTTTTGACAGCGACTGCTGTTTCAAGAACGATGAGGCATCCAGTGACACCTAAAGACAATACAATTATTGCTAAGAAATTTAGTTGTTAAATTATTCTGTTGTACATTTTAAACTTCTCAAGTATTCTTAGGAACATTGTTTGAATTCTTTGTCTAGTAAAATTATTTACGTAATTATACAGCAATTTTATAGTATAAATTACTGCGTATCCCACAGTTATACGCATAAATTATACCTTTCCTATCGTTAAAATTTTACTTTATTAAATTATTGTCTTTATCTTTCACACAGAACAAACTGGCATTGATGTTCTGAGGACCACCTTAGATCCATGTTCATCTATTTCGCTAACTGCTGTACACCACATAGCAGGAGAAGAAGAACACGAAATGGATTTTGACACATCTTTAAATATATTCAACACATCCTGTTCTTCAGCTTCTTCAGCTCATTTAGATGCAGAACTGACATCACGATGGCGAGAAAATCCTTGTGAAGTGACATTAGAAACTTCACAATTAGCAGTTCTTTCGGATGATACATTACATGACACGTTTGGGGGCATGAATAATTCTATGGAACAACTGAGCATTAGTGACTCGGAAGATATATTTGGTACCTATAGTGAATGCATGAACTTGCCTATAAACTTATCAGAGACTATTTTTGATTCTAGTTAAAGTATATCTCATTAGCAGCGTCTGCTTCGAGACTAGACAACTACTATCTTTTGTTTCAAAGAACACAACTTTTCTACAGCCACTGCTATTTGCAGAAGACAGAGAATCAACAGACTTTGTATTTTTTCCTAAAAGCAGTGCTCTCAAATTCAAAATCCATACGGGCCGAATTCATGATCTGAGAACAACAGCTTTTATTTTTTCTTGCAAAATAAAAATTTTGATTGATAAAATAAAAATATATTTTAGGTAAATTTTAAATTTCGCTTATCGAAACATATATAAACAATTGTAATTAATACCTGAAGAAAAAAATTAAATTTATATTTATTTCCTGTTTGAAAGTTTGATAACTGCAAGATATTTTTGTTGGTTACTCTTTGTAATCAAATATATTGACAGCTAAGTATTAAATTTTCATACCGACAATTATTTCAAATATCAATCTGAAAAATTACTAAGTTATTTATTGATTAAATCTTCAAATAACTATAATAAATTATTAAATAACTTACTTTAATTTAACTAAAACGAATATTGAAAACATTCCAAATGGGATAAAACTTGAGAATTAATGTAAAAGCATAGTCTTTCATTTATTAAATTTATCTTCGACGCATGTAGAAAAATAGATATGTTTGTATGTAACCGATTATAAACTTCTTTATTCCTTACTAGCTTTACACTTGATGCTGTTTCGATTCTGATAGAGTTTGTAGCCTTGGAGAGAAATTATTAGAAATTATCTCCATCTTGAATTGTGAATGCTTATCGGTCAACTGGATTCTTTTCTTTTTTATGTTCAACTGTAAAAAAGAGCTGTTCACATATAAATTCCCTAAGAAAGCGATTATTCTTAGTCCAAAAGCTCATAATAGAGCATATTCATTTTTCGACAAATACGAATAAGAGTTAATAAAGTCTGTATCTTCAAATCTTTGAATGCGATTTATAGCACTTAGCTCCATTTTCATATTTTCTGGTGCTTTATTCATGTTTGTTTTTAATGGTAATGAAAATAAAGTAAACTCGGACTTCAAATAATTAAAATATTGAAATATTTGCAACACTGTATTTGCAGCAAATATACAATTGAAATATAATCGCGGGCAGCATAACATTGCTTCGCAGCTGCCCCTTTGACTTAAGGAATTGAATCACAACAATGTTCCAATTATTTCATATTCAATGTTTGCTTCCATTTCACGATTCACTTAGGAGAAAAATAGCAGTTTCTTAAACTTTGATAACACGACCTTCTACTTCATTTGAGAGTCAGTTTTTGACTTCATCCTGCTCTACGCTCAACCTGTATTAACTCTTTCACAGCAAAGTCGCCTGAAATGCCCGTGCATTCATACATCGGCAGGTCGCCCCCAAAGACTATGCTTTTTCTACCTGGTGCTTTCCCCCATCACGTTAGCGCATGTTTCATAGGTTTCGGGAGTTGTTAAATGATATTCCAATCATCCTTCTGAAGTGACTTATCCTTAACCTTATCCGTACTAATATGGCCGGGATATCGAGCAAGGCGCGACGTGTCCGGCTCATGAAACAAAGTCCATAGGGCACATGACGATATGAAATACATGACAATTCGGTAAAATCATTAAGATGGGTAAGAGGGAGTGACCGTGCATCATAAAGCAGAAGAAGCAGCCAAAACATAAAAAATCAATCCAGGAGTAGTGAGGAGAAAAATGAGGTTCATCTCTGCGTTTTGACATAAAATAATAGAGACAAGTTATGATTAAATAAACATAACAGTACAATTAAACTACAAATAACATAAGATACACAACAAAATATAAAATAATATACAAGATATGGCACAGCATCTCTACATATAATAAAACAAAGAGTCTGTCTGTGTGTGTGTGTGTCTTTCGTTCGAGCTGCGCGTAACCTAATAGACCCACGGCTACGAAATTTTGTACATAGGTGCATCTAAACAAGAGCCAGTGCACCTCGAAGCGATTTTTTCGAAATTCGAATTACAATTTTTTTTTATTTTATGTTTTGTGATGAAATCGCGTCATTTTGAGACATAATGGGCTATAGGAAAGCGAGATTTTACTCTACACACCAGTGGCGGCTCGTAATAAGCACTGTGGATTATTTGCACTGCGGCTCGTAATAAGCACCTATTTCCACTCACTTATTATTTTTAATATTTAATATAGTGTGCCCTTTAGTCTTTCATTCTTTCTTTATACTTTTGCAATACATAATCCTTAAGCTTAATGTCAGTAGCCATCTCCCAGATTGTAAAAAGGTACGAAAATCTTTGTTTGGAACTGCGCGCTTCACAGTTCCAGCAACGTGGTGTTTGGCTGTTCTGCGCATGCGCACAGAGAAAGCACACGCGAGCCGCATAGAGAGAAGAGCACTGTTGCTCTTGCAGTGCCGAAATTCTGGCATGTTGCTGAAAACGTGATTTCTTTTTACTCCGCGCGTGTGGTATTCCTTCACCAGATGGGACTTTATCATACGGACCATAAACAGAGTTCATGAAAATTTGCAACTTTTAAAAAATTGCCTTACTGAAATTCAGTCAACGTCAAATGCAGATCAAACTATTGCAAAAGCAACAGGAATTTTAAAATATCTAAATGATGATAATTTCAAGTTTTGGTTAGAGATTTTTTATCAGATACCTCATGTTGAAATCATATACTAAATGCAATCCAGAGAAATTAGTGTGTTTAAAGTTTTCAAAACCGATATTTCAGAATTAAGAAACTCAAAGTACTGTAGAAATTTTTTAAAGACACTGATGGCAGAAGCTAAGGAAATATGTGACTTTATACTATGTATTGATATAATGCACAGATATTCTTCCACTAAACACTTAGCAGCTGCTAAATTGTTTAACAAGAAAGGCTTAGTTTTAGAAATGAGCATTCTACAGAAGAAATAGTACTGACCACTTAAACATATCCAATGATTGGCAAAGAAAAGCTTGAAACTGAACTAAAAGTATTCTATTGTAGGTCTGATATCCATGAATACTGCAAATTAGTTGAGCTATTGAAATTTATCTTCGAAAATAATCTAGATGATGTTCTTGGTGAAATTATGAAACTGATAAAAATTCTCTTGAGAGTTCCCATGACTACATCAGAGGCAGAACGCTGCTTTTCAACATTGAAAAAAGAATGAAAACTTTTCTAAGAAGCACTAGGATTTTGGAAAGACTAAATCCGCTTGCCTTGCTTTCAATAAAGAAAAATTTCCTCAGTTGTCATCCAGAGATCAAGGAGAAAATTATTGATCTTTTCGCGCAAATTAAAACAAGAGGAATGGATTTCATTTTTAAATGACTAGACAAAGATTGAACTGTAATAATTTTGGTTAAAGTAATTAAGAAATGTTTAATTTTTCCTTGTGAGATTTAATGAAGTTTCAAAATAAATTTTCTTTTTATACGTGTTTGTTTCCTTTTACATAATTTTAAAACAAAGGTTAAATTTTTTTGGAACAACACCCCCACAAATTTTAGCCACGAGCCGCCACTGCTACACACTCCATTTTAACATCGTCATGAAACGTAGGCACTCGGCTACTTTACGAACTTAAAATAAATTTCGTGTTTCACTAAATCGATTAAATACGAATTTATTTAACAAAGGGAGCTTAACACCTTTTCAACGGGATTTTTTCTTAAAAAGGTTATTTTTAAAAATGTACAGTTTATTTTTCTTTGATTTTTGGACACGTTAAACTTTTATCCTTGCGACTGCTTTTACAAAAAGAATTTTGGAAAAATGATAATATTTTGTATTTTTAAAAACAATTTTAAATAAAGCTTCCGAGTACATTTCTCACATCTCACATCTTTAAAAATGTGATTTTGGCAACAATTTTACTGTCTTATTGTTGTTGATAGATTTTTGATGAAATCGCATCATTTTGAATAGTTTCATTCTTTTAGAAATATGGGTTTGGCAACAATTTTTTATCGTATTTCTTATGTCACTGTTTTTAAGAGATTGGCATATTTCATTGTCATTTTTATATAAATATAATATATTTTTATTGATTTTTTTTGATAAAGTTGTTCTGTGGAGTAAAATTCTGCGCGGAATTTTATGTTTTTTTTTTAGTTGCTTTCATGTTATTTGTTGCTTATTTCACTGTTTGTAAAATATTGAAAAGTTTTGCATGATTTTTTTACTTCCATGTACGAAGTAAAAAGGAAGTGTAGTGTCGCTTCAGTTCCGTTAAGTTTCTAATGAAATTTAGTTAAAGCGGAATGGCAACAACTTCTAGTCTCCGCACGAATGAAAGTTATTCTTTAAATTCCGAAGTTCATCCGTCGGTACGCAATGATTGTGTCTTTGCGATTACTTTTCTTATAGATACTACAAAAGGCCGCCAACGAAGTAGCGGTAAAATCGTTGAATACTAATAGTTTGAAGCGGGTTCAAATCCTGATGAATGGATTGCCTGCATACCAGTTTTAGCGAATGTTTGTTGCGCATGTTTAATGTGAATATGAGCCAATTTTAGTTAGCTTTTCATGATGACGTGCCTTGACTACGAGTCCTCGCTCGGGTTGTGTTTGGTTTGGCTTGTTAGATTATTAAGCACGTGAAGGCGATCTGTCTAAGGGAGGTATGCTTTCGTGACAGATTTTCTAAGGGAAACAATCTCGCACTACAAAAAGTTAAAACCATAAAAACGCCCATGCAATCAGCTTGTTCACGGGGGGTTTGAATGCAGGTCAAACTACCAGTATGTTAAGAGAAGCGATTCCAAGAATGTTTAATTATTTTATTTAGTTTGTCATAAGCTAAATAAAATAATTAAACATTCTTGAAATCTCTTCACATTACTGAAATGGCAATAACTTCGAATTATACTATGCTACCACTTTTCCTCTAATATGAAATTTTGAACTTTTCCGTTATCGGACAGCCCACCAGCGACTGAGCGGAGTCTAACGGAACAACTGGTGGTTCTGTCCGGGGTTCGAATCCCGGCAAACGAGCTGGTTGCCAAGATGATATTCTTAGTTTTCCATATGTGTAACATGTATGCAAGCCAATTTCCGTTAGGCAGTCCTCGAACGAAGGCATCCTTCACCTTAGGCAAATAACCATCGAGTACTTTGCCATAATCAAATAAACCTTTATCCATAACATGCTTCAAATATTTTTATGTTGAAAAGTTCATGCGCCAAAGTTGGTCCCCGTTGAATGAAATATGTTGTTTATTTTTTTTTATTTTTTCTTTTGTTTTTTTTATAACAACAATGT